TTAGTGGGACAGAGGCACAGAGACGTGCTGGGGGACGGGCTGACAGACAGTGGGACCGAGGCACAGAGACGTGCTGGGGGACGGGCTGACAGACAGTGGGACAGAGACGTGCTGGGGGACGGGCTGACAGGTACCTGGATGTTGTCGTTGCGGAGGAAGGCTTGCAGCTTCTTGTACTCGTTGGATGCAGCGGTTCCGTCTCCAAACATGAAACTCACCAACCAGCGGTGATGGGCGAGCTTCCCCTGGGGACAAGGACAAGGAGACACAACAGGACGAACATTTTAATATTGTAGTATTTCAGAGGGTTGATGCGAGCTGTGGGGTGCGTGTGAGCACCTTGAAGTTGTCGCTGGTCAGTCGTTCCAGATCAGGCAGGTGGTCGATGACCTGATTGTAAATCTCTCTGCCGTCCAGAGTCTTCAGCCACTGGAACATGTACACACGGAGGGGGGGGGGGGGGGTCAGTGCCGCGGTGCCGCAGGCAGAATCACTACAGGCAGTAAGTGTGTCGCTGTGTCCTACCAGGATGCTGCCTGGTTGATCCAGAGAACTTCCAGGTGGGAACAAAGCAGTCACTCCAGTGGTCACCTGAAAATCACAGAGAGGATCAGGCACCAACACTGCCGACATCAAAAGACACAATCGTATTGCAGGAGTGCTGACCCGTACCTGGAAACTTTCACAGAGCGTTCCCTGTGAGGTGCAGTCCATCCACCCCACCTTAACCAGACCCTCCTACACACACACAAGATTTATGTAAAAAAAAAACAAATGCATAAATAATGTATCCTCAAATATTCAGATTTTAGCCGATAACAAGAGACTCACACCTCATTTTTAACAGGTTTAAATATGTGCATTAACTGCATGTTCCTCCGGGTCCTTAAAAAAAACCCAACAACGCTCTCTGTGCTGATGAGGGTCAAAGGTTGCAGCTTTTCTTTGCGGTGTGTGTGTGTGTGTGTGTGTGTGTAATAATAAAAGTTATGCTATTAATTTCGCTGACTTCTCACCAGCATTCCGGCAACCTTCTTCCTTGTTCTTGACTCCAGGCAATCTAAAAGAGAGAGAGGCGGGAACGTGAAACGACTCCGTGACAGGTCATGTGACCCAAAGCCGCCCACGCGCGCTCGTACCTCCGGTGTCGCAGCAGAAGGTGATGAGCCAGCCGAGGCCGGAGGCGTACGCGCTCTCGATCTCGCTGAACACGTTCCCTGAGAAAACAACAGGACCAGGCGGTGAGAGGGGGCGGGGCTACACACAGCGAGCAGTTGGACACCATTCACCTTGCCAGAGCTCGGTGACGGCCGTGGTGATGAACTTCATGGAGAATCGCACCAGGCTGTCCTTGGAGCGCTCCTCGTTAAACTTCTCTGGTCTCTGTGGGAGGACGGGACGGGACGGAACGGGGACGGATGAGGAGACCGGGTGACGCTGAGCTAACAGAATTCAGCCTGAGGGAGAGACGCCGGCGAAAAACAGACCTGTCCTGCTCTGAATATGTACAGACTCGGGTAGCTGTTGATGCCTTTGCTCCGGCAGAGGTGGTTGTTGTCGCCGCAGTTCACCGCCCCGATCCGGATGACTCCATCCATCTCTTTGGCAAACTCCCTCCACTGAGAGACGCAGCGTACGGCAAGTCATTCAAGTGCAAGTATTGGACTCAAAAACAGGGCGAAGTTAGAGAAAATGATGAGCTTACGGAGGAAAGTAAGTAACATTTACCTCCACGGTGCCTGTTCAGCGCCGAGTGTGAGTGTGTGTAGTTTATGTGTTTGAGTGCAGGCTTTTATCGGTTTACTGTTATATTACCGTTGGAGCCAGCTCGTGGCAGTGAGAACATCGTGGGAAATAGAAGTTAATGAACCAGATTTCTCCAGAGTTCACTGCAGCCTCTGAGGCACACAAACACAAACACACAACAATCATCGCGACTTTTCCTCTCAAGTCTGCTAGTTAGATACAACGCAAACTTTAGATGAGCTGTGGCCAAACAAAGTTAAGCTTTTACCGAAGTCTCCGCTGTCCAAAGTGATGATCTCCAGATCGTCATCGTAGATACCTGAACAGGAATACACGTACAACTGGTTAGCAACGTAGAACTACTCTCCAGCTGAATGAGTCCATGTTCTGTCGTGGCGTCAATAAAAAATGCCTTAAATTCATAATAAAAAAAACAACAACAACGTTGCCCATGGTTGCCATGGTTACCAAAAAAACTTACCAAAGTCATATCGGTAGAAGTTCCAGCTCTCGTAGCGTCCTCCCTGCTGCTGCTCGTCCAATCCCTTTTCTCCGTATTTATCGTATTTCTTCCGGAGGTCTTCGTCCTTCAGGACCTCGTAGGCTCGATTCACCTGCACGAACCGGTCATGTGCCGTGGAGTCGCCCTGAGACACGACACTGGCGTTAAACGGGTTCAGGGCTTCTTGTGTACAGGTTTCATCAGGCTTTCTGTGCGGTTCTATCTTTCATCGGGGTGCAAAGGCTTGTGGTTTTTAACGGGGTGCACGTGGGTGTCGGATGGGACACGGAGGGTGGTGCTGGTGGTGTGAGGCCTCTCGGAGGGACTCACGGGGTTTTTGTCGGGGTGCATGGTGAGCGCCAGCTTTTTGAAGGCCTGTCGGATCTCTCTGGTCGTGGCCTCCCGGTTGACTTTCAGCAGACTGTAGTAGTCTTGGCTTTCCGCCCAAACCGCCGCCGACAGGACGAGGAGGAGGAGCAGACCGCCGAGGACACGCCTCCGCCCCATCACCAGTCCTCCCAGTGCAACCACAGTCGCCAGCAGAGCGCGAGCAGCTGGAACGCAGGGGCATATAATTCCTTCATCAATGCTACCAGGTTTACTTCTTAGGGATGAAGTCATGATGGTTTATGAGCAAGAAGTGCAAACAGACAGTGGTGACAAAGGGCTCAGACATGATGCAACCTTGTTGGAATTGTATTAATTGCGTTTGTGTGTTTCACAAATGTCCAGCCTCCACATGTGGCGAGGGTGGATTGGCTCGTACCTCAAGGTGTTGCCAATTGGGGCCCCCAGACCTTTTAATCTCCACTGGGGTGTCAGTTCAGGTTGAGCAACAAAAACAATGAACATGTGTGTTGGAATCAGGTTATACTGTGAATCTCCATTCAATCAGTCATGAGGGTGAAGTTCATTCTGACCTTATTGTCTTCTTAATTTCCTATTTTTGAGATCTTATTTCCTGTGGTGGAATAAAGTGTCTCCAAAATGTCAAACTTAGATACTTTTATTATTAACTTTGGCCTGCAAAAATAAAACATCCCGTTATACTGGCTGCAATCATTCCTGTAGTCAGTTTGCGTGACTCCTATCAAAACTAAGGAGGGGGTGGGGGGGGGGATCCACAGTCCTCATTCTGTATCAAAAGGATTCTATATTTCAAGGTGAAGTTAATATGCAACTATCTGAGTTAGACAAAGCAACACGGTATCTTCCAAAAGCAACTTGAGATTCCAACTGGTTTATTGGTGGAGGGTTAGTTTCCCAACGAGCAAATGTCTACAGACTTCAAATCGACTGCCAAAGCCTCATACTAGCTTCCTCTGAAAATGCATTTTTTTGCCACAGACAAAGAAAATTACATGTCAGGGATCACAGCTTCCCATTAAATCCTTCTATGTACATGCGGCTTGCAAGGATCAAATTAAGAAACTATCCTCCGAGACACCTTTTGTCATGACATGAGGCCCGGTGATATTTATGTTTCTATTTCCCCCAAAAGAACAATGGAAGGTAACACATCAACCTAACAATAACAATAACTAACATCTAAATAAAAACTTTGCACGTCATTTTTAGTAGCTTTGTCTCTGGCGTCCACAAACAAAAACACACTCAAAATAGCAACACCTCGTACATGATCAAACCTCACTAATATTCAAAGGAAATGAATGAGTACAATAAATACAGATGTCAGAACTTAGAAATTGCATTGGAGAAAAACAGCCATGCCAGAGTATTTTGAGGAAAACTGGTACATCTAGTTTGGATACGTTGTAAATAAGCAGCAATTAAACACATACAATACTGCAGATAACATTGCTATAACAAAGCACTTTAAATGAAAAAAGAGTCTTACACAAAAGGCAGAGTTGAGGAGAGACTTCCAGATGTTCAAATCTTATTAAATTGTTCAGGTTTTTGTTTCGAGTCGGCAGAAAAAGCTTTTATGAGAAAAAACTCTGCTACGCTAGCTAGCTATGCGTCCTCAATCAGCTGCAACTATTCTAACTCGCTAGCTAATTAACGTTAGCTTCTTGGCTTCAAGGCGACGTTAAGGTGTCTGCAGCGAGTTGGCCAAGCTATTGCAGATTTTAATATGTCGCTGGTCGTTTGCCAAAGCTTCGATCTGGTTCAAACAACAGCTGCGTTGGCTTAGAGGCGTCTCAACTTTTAAAAAGCCTTCAGCGCTGAAGGTCCGCATCAGCGTCCGGTTTAAAAACCGGCATCAAGCTACGCACATTAATAGAAACTTGCTTCCGCTCAAGTCATTTCAAAATAAAGGGTGCACTGAGAACCAAGGGAGACCACCACCTTTTTCTGACAAGTTTTCATGAGTTCAGAAAACTGCAGTTTTCAATTTTAGGACGATTTAGAAGCCTATACAAATACCGTATAAGTAAACATACTTAATTACATTTCAAAATCGCGTTGCGCTTTTATTTTGACGACGGTTTCCTTTACCGGAAAGTTTTCTGTTGCTTACGGTTTCTTGAATAAACCCGTGGGCCGTAGGCCGCATTCCGATGACACATATTCGTTGCGTTCATGGCCACGTTATATTGTAATATTCTGATAATATTCCAAACGTATCATTTTACAGTTTTCATTTATAATTTTCCACTTTAATTATTCCTGAATGTTTCATCTGTAATTACATTCCACCATTCATCATGTTTTTTTTGTATATGCCGTTACGATTTATTTATATAATGTGTATTTTTTTTATAAACTGCCTTGAACGCATCTTTACTCTGACTCTGTCTAAATGCGCCAGAAGTTACGCAGGTCGGCCTCTGTGCTGTAATTCCCAGTCAGCATTCACCAGTAGCTCTGAGCAACACAAACAAACTGCTTGCGGACTGAGTGTCCGATTGTAAACCACTCGGTTGTATCTAATTGGAAGCTACCATTTTTATATTCAGGTTCACTCAAGTTGACTTTTCAATAGCAGTCATTGTGACAAATCCGTTAGCTTTGCTAGCCGCGTGAGCTAGCCGGCCATTCCCTTTCTCCTGGCGTCACTTCCTACGTTTGAAAATCGCGGCCAGAAAGTAACGAAGCAGAGATGGAGCTACAAGGTAAAAAAACAAACATGTTTTGTTAAGTCATGTTATTCTGTTGCTCGCTTATTATAATGTTCTGCTGTTATCTAACGCTGACCAGTACGTTTATTTAGTTATCTGTCTGCTCTGGCAGCCTGTTCGCTCAACGTCAGCTCGGTTAACTTACTTTCCTATTTCTGGTTTATTAAGCGGTAACTTGAGTTTTTAGATCTCAAGTGCGTTAATAACTGGGCCAAAGTATTTCTCGTGCTCGTCTATCCATCTATTGCCTCTCATACATTTACTGGATTTATTGTACGTACCGTTAATAGTTAAATCATATATAGCCAATTCTGAGCACCTCTCTACCAAAAATAGCCCATTTTATTTAATGTCATATTTAACCCTATATTTTGACTTCTTTACTATTAAATCTCTTTACATTAATTCAATGAGCACGTCAAAAAGATATTCATTGCGGTTTGTCTGTGATGTGCATGTGGCGATGGATCATTTGAAGCCGACCCACAGCGTCAAACCGGTTCTAATCGTTTCTGAATTTCTGGACATTGACATGGATTCCAGATCAAACTCTGCACCTCAAAATATATTTGCTCTGTGATCTGGAAAAATAACCCAGAGGTCAGTCACAGAGCCAAAAAAGAACCCCCTGAAAGTCCTTTAACGACACCGTTATGGAGCTTTCCCAAATCCTCAAAGACTCTTTCTCCATCTTAATGGAAAATATATGCACATTAACACGTGACCCTTTCTCAAGTTTAATATGAATCAGAACTTTCATGATACTTGTGTGTTAGAAAAAGAGTGCAGAATCCGTATGCCTCCTCTGTCCACCTACTTTCGTGGATAAGGACGTTGTAACTTTTTCTTTTTTCTTTTTTGTCCCCGTCTGACAGTGGGAACTGAACCGATGGCCCTGGGCTCCCCCACCTCTCCAAAGTCCACCCCTGGTGCTCAGTTTCTGCCCGGCTTCCTAATGGGCGACCTGCCAGCTCCAGCTAGCCCCCAGCCCCGCCCCTTCAGCCTGGGCACGCCCCTTATGGACAGCACAGGTACACCCCGAGGTCAGCAGCAAGACTCCCATCCGCACATCAGCTGATTGTTGTTTATTCCGCAAACTTATCGGTCTGTCCTGTCCCGCACTTCAGGGGGTGGGTCGGCACCGCAGCCCGTGGTCCCCACCCCCAAAGATAAGAGCGGAGCCCCACCTGTTCGGAGCATTCATGACGAGCTGGTTACCATGACGACGCCCCTCAGCTCACACAGACAGGTTAGTACAGAGGCTTTCTGAAAGTTAAACGTATTCAGAGCCCAACCGCCTGGATGATAAAATGGGATTGAGGAGAAAGAAAGTCTGAAGACTTTTAAAAAAAAAAAAATGTTTCTTTCCTTCTCTCAAGTCTTTTCCAGTAATGCAGTCTCCTTTGTCCACACGAGGGGCATCAACTCCAGGTACACTCTGATGCTATTCTGCTACTGGGGCTACCTATTCTACTGCTGATATTAGATGGGAGTACACATCAGTTAACACAAAACTCCAGCTCCCATGTATACAATTCAGTACAACAAGGATCTTCTCCATAGAAATGATGTAACTCAATGAGTCCAATGAATGAAGTTAGCCTTTCCTCCACTGCTTCGGGGAGATGGCTGCTCAACTCTGGAAGTATGTATTGTCATTGCGCAGGTGGTGATGCTAAATTCAAGACGCAGCAATTTAAACGGTTATTTAAAAGAGCATTTGTTCGGCTGTCCCAAGTATTTGTGATTCTTTTTTGGACAAAAAAACCCCTCAGAAGTCCTAGCTCTGCGTACTGTGATCGGCTGTCCCTCCGCCTGTATTCACCTGTCGCTGTCTCCAGGTGTGCAACAGCTGTGCATGTCGCCGGCTCAGGTGGATCCTTTCTACAGTCAGGGAGAGTCTTTGTCGTCTGAGGATCAGCTGGACCAGACTTGGGTCACAGTGTTTGGGTATTTGGACTGCTAAATACACTACTAACACACCGTAATACACTGAGAATACAAATATATGAACTTTGTGTGTGTGTTTTGTGTTTGGTAGTTTTCCTCCAGCCTCAGCCTCATACATCCTGCTGCAGTTTGCACAGTACGGGAACATCCTCAAACACACGGTGAGTACCACATACGAATATCCGGTCAACTGTGATGTTATAAACTGGGCTTTATGTTTTAATAACAACAAACAAGAACTGAAGTAATACATTACTGTTGGAGCTATATAACATCTAGCAGCTTACTGTGGAGATGCTGCCAATTGGTTGGAGAGGTTAAAGTTTTATTTTTATGTCCCACTGGGTTCAACCACTCACACAAACAATGAAAGAAGGGATGTTGAAAGACAAGTCTGTCCCAGAAAGAGTTCCAACATGTTGCTGTGTAAATATGACCCTAATTCCGTCATATTTGGATGCATAATCTCGCTATGGGTGGTGTCCTCATGTGAAGAATCACTGCGTCCTGAAGAGTGATCTTTTAGTCCATTGACCTGGCAAACATAGACTTAATGTTATTTATACACGTGTTGGTTTGAATTGCTGATTTATTGACAGATGGCGTCTCCTGGCAACTGGATGCACCTTCAGTATCAGTCCAGACTTCAGGCCAGGAAAGCTCTGTCTAAAGATGGGAAGGTGTTTGGTGACGCCATCATGGTGGGAGTCAAACCCTGCATAGACAAGGTCAGTATCTTTTTTGGGGGGGGTTACTCCTGTATTTTGTTTTCAGCTATCTGATCGGTCGTCCATGTCAGGTGACAACCTATGAGGCTTTTTTTCCTCTGTCTTTCTCAGAGTGTGATGGACGGCTGCGTAGCCGTCTCGTCTCCCATGCGCTCCTCCTTCTCCTCCTCTGTCCTCCCCTCCACCCCTCGCTCCGCCATCAGACCCCTCAGCGCCGCTTACAGGAGCTCCTGCAGCGACTACCAGGTGATCTCTGACCCCAGGATTAAATCCCTAGAAAGTCCAAACTGCACACGTGGTTGACCGTAGAGATGAATCTGTGTGTGTGTGTGTGTCTTTAGGTGGTAGCAGACAGACAGACGCCAAGAAAGGACGACAGTTTGGTTTCCAAAGCGATGGAGTACATGTTCGGCTGGTGACATTTTGCAATGCATCATGGGATATCTGCAGCCTCGAAGGAGAACGTGGAATCAATGGAGCGATGGATGAACTGATTCACTACCCTGAGCGTGCGTGAGAGAGAGCCTGAGAGTGTGTCTGCAGAGGTTGAGAATCTTTTTGTCTTTTTATAATCGGTATTTTTAAATGTTTTGTCTCAATAAAGTTTTTCTCTGGTTTGAAGTAAAGATGACGTTTCATTCAACGGCCACTAGGCGGCACTGTTCAATCTAAAAAGTTCAGTCACATACGCTTGTTTACAGGGCTTGGCTTTAAAGTTCTTAGGTAGGCAAACATTCTTGTCATAAGTGATTATTGTTAATCTTATCTTAAACCATGATCATTGATGTGCTGCTGTAGCGGCCTTCGCTCTTCTCACAGTCCGTTACACCTCATCCCAAAGGTGTTGGATGGGGTTCAAGTCAGGGCTCTGAGCAGACCAGCAACTTTCCTCCACACCGAGCTGGAAAAAATGTCTATACGGAGCTGTCTCTATGGACGGAGACGTTCTGTTGAAGTTGGAGAGAATAGTGATCTAAATATAGTTGCGTGCTGCAGAGAGATTTCCCCTCTCGCCTTTTATGAACTATTGGATTCATTGGCCTTGATTTGCCACTGTTGGCCACCACCTTCTTAACATATAAAACAAAAGGGACCGTGAATCTAGCACCCAAAATCTTGTGTATGATTTTGTATACAAGTGATTCCAGCTGGACATATTTCACACGGTATCTTTGTTACAAAAACTTTAGCAAAATCGTCTAATAATTTTTGGATAATTTTCTCATGGAAGCAGGATGACACGCTCCCTGCTAGTAATGGTCCTGCACGTACTGTATATATATATACTTTATTCTTGTTTTTCATTGTAAATAATAATAGTGTCCCTGAGATGGATATTTGGCAAATAATCTGTAAAAACTATTGATAAATGTCGCTGTTAACAGTGACACTTCATTTTGGAATAGTATGTAGGGAACAGGGCTGAAAAGACGTTATATTTTTTTTGTATTTTATTTGTGTTGATGGGTACTATTGTTTAAAGAAAATAAACTTTCAATTGCCAGTGAACACATGAAATATGGAAATTGACTTGACAAAAAAGTCAGAAAATAAACTGTATAGAGTGGCTGAATGCGCTCTGGTGTTAAGGGGCCACATCCTTCCACACACACTTTAAGTCCCTGATTCATTTTGATATATTTTGGCAATTTTTGACAACTAGTTTTAAAGAGTTTGTGTTCCAGAAAAGGGGGGAAGGGCTGAATACACGATTAGCATATATTCAGTTAAAAAAAAAATAATAATGAACCTAACAAATGCTTCAATCAAGTTGAGCAACATTTTTGGAGTGGATGGACGCACCCTGGTGCTTAGCGTCACTGAATGATTAATAACTGGTGAATCAAGGTGAGGTTCCTGCCTGCTAAAGAGGCTCGAACTAGTCTCACAAACTATTATCTTTGTTTTAGCAAAGATATCTAGAGGTTGCCTTCGCCGGCCTTCTGTACCCGGTTACGTTGACTCATCTCAGTGTTCGATTGGTGGACCGAACGGAGTGAGGCCTTGGGGTAAACGGGGGCCATCAAAGACCACTGGCCTCACTCATCGAGTGTCATTTTCAGAAAACCCACAAGTTGATCTCTCCCAAAGTAGCCTATTTCCTCTTGTCTACCTTAAGCCAGTCAGGGGATAAATGTCTGAAACAGGCCTCACAGCCTGCACTGTGTGCAGAGCAGAGGGCCCGGTGCTGGAAGAAGGGATGGGGGGAGGGGCTTGTGCTTTGGAGACTTTGGTTGAGCTTATGCATACCCTCCTGACCTTAAAGGTCGTTTTGTAACCGATCAAGAGAAACCGTTTGTATGAAACACTCCAGATATACATTATCAACGTTTCTAATAGCAAGAGACTCAGCTACACTCCTTCTCCATCTTTATAAACGGTATTGTTGTGTTTCTTGTTGAGTATAATGTTGGTCCTCTTCATCTCATTGCCTTTGTGGAAGAGTATTTGAATTTCTCATACATCCAAATCCATCTGCTTTATATATGTTTGCACATTATGTTCTTTATATTGTCCTTTGTGTTATCTTACAGTTGTCAACTTTGTTTAATCTCTTTGCATATGCCATATGTCTCGTAAAAATAAAATGTGAACGTATTCAAATCAGAAATTTAAAGTGAAAGTGGATTATTATCAAAGTGTCGTACTAGTTTTAGAATTTCATCTCCCACCACCGCTTCGAATATTGGTTTCGTGTCCCTACAAATGAAAGCTTTTTCTACGCCAAGAGACGAGGAGAACTATCGCGATATTTGGCTAACGGGCCGTTGGCTTGAGGTGACGGAGGCTATATCTCGCGCTACCTGAGTACTCGGTGTCTCATTCCAACACGGTCAAGCCTGCCGGCAGAGTTCCTGTTCTACAGCTTCACTTCTATCATTTAATTTGAAAACTTGAAACGGAATTTACATTTATATAAAACTTCGTTTTATTTATTTAAAGTAAACGCAATCGTCTAGCTCACTTCACAGGTAAACGTTGGCTCAAGGTCGTCATTTTTGTACAGAAAAGGAATTTCACGTAACAGCATAGCCGGTCGTGCTAACAAAGAAAATCCTTTACCTTCAGAAATAATCCCCCATTACTCTCTTTAGTTATGAGTCATGTGGTCGTTGATAATCCACACGGTCTAGATCAGCAGGTGAGTACTTTTTTAATTTTCTACGTGGTCATTTGTGTATTTAAAATAAGCTGGTGATTTTCCCTTACGCGCACGTAGTTTCGACAGAAAGCGATAGCTTCGTTAGCTAAGTCACTAGCATCTGGCTAAGCTAACGATGCGGCTGCTAAAATGGAGGTGACGCTTTTAGAGAGGATTGTGATGGCGGAGCTCGGCCCTACGTGCTGCCAGCTAACTAATTTAACAAGCGTGTGAGGCCGATGTTTCACTTCTCTCTAAAAGGCTAACGATTGGCCTACACCCTCAAAGATGTGCTATTTAACTCATATTTTGTGAAAATGTATTTTAATTTAAAGTTAGACGGTTAGCTAACAGTGCTCATCCTGCCGGTGTCCTACGAAGTTAGCCCGGCTAATGTTGGGCCTTCTCGACCTGAAACGTGGCGCAGGAAAAAACAATGTTTGCAGCGTTTTTTTAGCCACCATTAATGTTTGTGAAACCTGACGCTTTATTGTATTATTTAGTTATTGGCGTTAACCGTATCCAGTGTTAAAGCCATTTCAGCCTATGTTCTAAAGGATTATAATAATACACTAACTTTTGTCTGTTTAATTTGTATGCCTTTCGTCTTGACGGTCACATGCTATGTGATTAGGCCATGGCGGTTGGCTACAATACGCCGGTTTTAATTATTAGTCAAAAGCTTTTTAGTAACTTAGTCTGTAGTCCGACACTTGGTAACTAGCCAAAAAAGTCGAGCTTATTTGTTGTTCAGGATACAAAGTGGAACACGCTTTTAAAATGCTGTTCATCGTGTTGCGTACCGTGTCTTTTGTACTGTTTGCAGTCATTGTAACTGCGCATTTGGATTCAAACCATTTTGTTTTTGCAGCTTTCTGCCCTAGACTTAAACTCTGCTGACGGACAAGGCGGAGGAACTGGTAGTAAGTATTGAAGCAGATTGAATTAAAATATGTCAATATACTAATTGAATGGCATTATCTGCTGTTGATCATCATTTTTAAATCCGCTACTGTCTTAATGACTGAAGTATCTAATGGCCACCACTGGTTTACTTTGGTAAATGAGATATTTTAAGAATATATTAATAAATCCTGTTCCAGGAAGATTATGCCATCCAGTCTTAAAGGTAACCAATGTTATAGACATTACACCCTCAGCACACAAATGTGAGATTATTTTGTTTATCTTTGACTAAAGTGGTATAATTGGAGTATTGCATTTATACCATCGGTTGTACTATTCTGGCATCAGTAATGCCTTTTTTCTCTTTTCAGTATAATGAATTATCTGATTTTTTTTCTTTTCTACCTCCACCCAGGGCGTTACATTCCACCTCACTTGAGGAACAGAGATGCACCTAAAAACGGTAAGTTTAATCGAACACCTGCTGACCCAAAGTCAGACCATTACCCCTGGTCTGGCTCATTAAATGGTTAAAGCTCATCCGAGCATGGTGCAAGCACAATCAAGTCATCTTTACGGTTACCAACAACGCTGTTATGGTGCAGTGTTTTTGTTTTTGCTGCTTCAGATTATTTTTTAGTGCACAGAACGAGGAACAAAAGCCATGTGGCTGTGGTTTCATAACTTATCTTGGCACAAAAAAGTAGGACATGTGGTCCTGTATGATTTGGTTGTGTAATGTATTTTGTAGCTAGGATGATGTGGTTTTGAACCTTTTCCGGTTCTTGTTGGGCCGTTTAACGGTGTTCAAGACAAAGGCCGTGCCTGTCATCATCCGCCAGATTTGATTTGAGTAAAAACAAATCTTTGCATAATGGAACACTTTTTTTTTTCTTTTTTTACTGTTTTCTCATTCCACAGCAGGAAATGTACAGTACGGTTATTCAGTGGCACCGGTAAATCTCAAGTCCTTTCTGTCTGCTTTTGCTGAGGGCAACCCGCATTTCCAGGTGCATGAGAAATTTCCTTTACACACCAGCAAAGCGAGTGTGTGGGAGTTTTTGATCTGTACACTTTTGCAGTAAAGATTAATGATGGGATGATTATTCATTTATTTGCTCTCTACTAGGATGCTTTCATTCAACATGAGAAATATGTTCAAACGAAGGGGCAGTTTTACGTAAGCATTTGCTTGCTGCATATATGCTTTACTATATTGAATGGTATTTGTCTCTTGAAGCAACTCGTCTTTACACACTAAATGTAAGCCCATATTTCACCTGCAAATGTCTCAGTTTCTTGCCAGTAGCCATGGCAGATAGTGTGAGCTCAGAAATATCTGTACTGCAGGAGGGGATGGCTGTAAGACTGGTAACTATTCATGTAAAGTCAAGCCCAACACTTGTACTGCATGAGTCTGTAGTTATGGCAGTCTTTTTATAGCCTGCTTCACTACCTTTGCTCAGGTTACCCAAGACTGGCCTCTCCAGAGTTTGCCTTTTACCATGCCTACAGTGGGGGTCGTCAAAACAGATGTGGTATACTTTGACCTTCACCTGCATGCCAGCTACTTAATGGCAGATTTTCATAGTGTGTGTGTATATGGCGGAACGCTGGGACATAATCAACGTGCCCTTGCTTTTCATGGTCACTTGAAAACCGTGGAAATCTGGGCCTAACTGTTTTGAAGCTTGCAGTTGAAGTTGCTTACGGTGCATGGGGGTGGTGCCTACAGGATTGCACCGCATCACTACCGGCTGTCTTACTAATAGTGAGCCGATGTCAGCAGTGAAAGTAGAGCTGAGCGATAAGGCTTTTAAATAACATCCGCATTCCTTGGCTTTGCCGCAATTTCTTTATTGCTGAATTATATATCATGACAGTTCAATTTTCCACATGTAAATTCTGAAATGAAATGCAGTTTTCTAACTTTTGTTCCATTTGGTAATTTATCAAATTCATATTAAATTACTTATTGGTTGAATTTTCAAAAATCCCTATTTAACAACTCTGCAATGCGACCCATATTACTGTGACACACTGACGTCCATAACATCTCGCATGTCAACTTGCTTTGACTGTTTACGGCTTCTTTTATCCAAACTAATACCCCCCCCCATCACACCCCAGAGACCAAAACTCTCACCTCATACGGCCACGAGGGCAACCCTCAATGGGTCGAGTATTTAACACAAATGCTGTTCAATTAAATTCACTTCTGTTAATTACGGTAATGCAGCTAATTTAGGGATTTTTATTTGGCAACAAAACGTTGCACTGCTGCAATGAGTTTCATATTCTGACCACGTAATACTATTGAAATTAGAAATTGGTTTTAAAAAATGCACCAATTGCTTTCTTATGGTTTGACATTTCTTTCATATTTTTTACCTTAAGTGTTGAGGTTAACTAGTAAACGGATCTTGCTGCACCAACAGCTCAGTGTGGGCGGTTAATCTGGTGTCTTGAGTAAGATGCCCATTGCTTTGTAATCAGCGCAGCTCACATTTTGCCACTCACAGCTGCACAGGAAATGCACCCCCTTCACTGTTGAAGTGTAAAGAAAATGTCAAAAGGAATTGGAAACACAGTTTAGCCTCCAGTACCCATAGGAACAGTTTCATGTTCTTTTCCAGAATGAAGCAACTATCATTTTGTTTGCCATCATTGCTTTTATTTACTTTTTTTAAACGTCACAACTTGTCTTTTACTTGAAAGCTACACATGATTTGGTTAATCTGGCATTACATAAAGATGGTGATGGTTGAGTTTTCACTGCTGCAGTGTGCTTTGCAATGTTTGCAGATTCCACATTGATTTTCATTTTCCAACAGTCTCAGTGACCAAGTTGCGCCGCAGTGCTCTTGAAGTATAATTAAGCTTTGGCCTAACACTTTCACTAACCAGCGGGAAAGGTCTGAATGGCACATCTGGAACTGTAGCACTTGGCTACTGTGATTGCAATGCGGCTCTGCGGTCCCAACATTTTTTTTCTCCACAATATTGCAGCTTGCTTGGAGAACATTTTGCTTTTTCTATAAATCCTTTACATCATTTGAGTTACTCGGATTACTATGGAAGACAAAAGTTGGACATACTCCACTATTTGGCACAGGTGGGCATGTGAAGCGCTAGAAAGCTTTGTCTGCTAGTTTAGTAAACCCTATCCAGGTTCAAGTCAACTATAGAGTTGCTTGCTTCCCTCCAGTCAGTAAACTGGGGGGAAAGTAGGTCAGTCTCCTGGAAAAGGGACGTTTGGCTGATAAGGACTTTTGAGTAGAGACACAGGAGTATTTGCTTTCTGACACAAATGTGCAGCATCACGCTCTTCCTCTCAAGCCTTTACATTTTTTTTTGTCTTTCCACAAAGATGCTGGATGGGACGGTGGACGAAGCAATGGATTTGTGAATGGTTACCACGACAATCGCACAAATGGGGGCTTTGGCGGGCGGGGACCCCCACGCAATGATAGAGGTGGGCGTGGCGCCTACCGTGGTAACAGGGGTGGAGGTCCGTTTAATCAACCATTGCAAAATGCAGGTGGGGAAACCTGGTCATGCCTTAAAATGTCAACTAGCCCTGGTTTGTAGAGACAGTGTAGTTTAAGAAGGAGAACTTTGCCCTCCCCCACCCCTGTTACATAGTTGAGGAACTAGCAGGTCGCTACTCTGCATCATGGATTCGGTTACCTATACAAAATTAGCTGTGCCCTTTGGTAAGAAAGTGGCGCCATCTGATGACCGTATTCGTGAGAGGGGCGTGCCGCTGAGTGACTCTGTTCATTACAGGGTTTGGCGGGGAAGGTGGCGGTGGCGGCGGCGGCGGTAACTGGGCAGGAGCCCCTCGTGATGCTGCCTACAACAGCTTTGGAGGACGTAACGATAGGTCAAAGTCTACCTTCTTCAATGACCGTGGCTCCAGCTCCAGGGGAAGGTGGGTAGAATTGTTACATTTCACAATTTAGTTTTAATTTAGTTAGGTAACTTTTAGAAATGTCTTGTACTAAATAGCTTTTTAAAGCCGCGGCTCCTGAATTCCTAGTTCAATATTCTAGTTAGTGTAGAACTGTCTGCTAGTAATGAGCAGATACTGTTGCATTAAATCAAAGGGTTTCTTTTGGCTCACCTCGCTAACACATTGGGCATGCTTGTAGATATGAGCGTGGGGGCTTTTCTGGTGGCGGAAACAACCGGTGGGGAGACGAATCCAGAGATGAGGATTGGTCCAAGCCCACTGCGCCCAACGATCGGCAGGAACAGTAAGAAAAATGTTGCTCTGAAATAAATGACTAGTCTTGTATTTGGATTTAATCTTAAACGTTTGAAACAATGTTTTCTAGGGAGCTTTTTGCTGCAAGCAACACTGGGATAAACTTTGAGAAATATGATGATATTCCAGTGGAGGCCACTGGAAGCAACTGCCCGCCCCACATTGACAGCGTAAGTCCGTATTCTGGAGTGCTTGTATATTTGAAATGGTGTCATTGATCATAATTTGATTTAAAGGATTTTAAACGTGATTGAAACATTTGACCTTTTCTGATATATCTACATTTTTTTCTGTAGTTCCACGACGTGGACATGGGGGAGATCATCATGGGCAACATCAACCTGACTCGCTACACGTGTCCCACCCCGGTTCAGAAGCACGCCATCCCCATCATCAAGTCAAAGAGAGACCTCATGGCTTGTGCCCAGACTGGTTGGTATTTCTATGTATTCTCAAAGCGTGCATTTAACCATTTGTTATTGGATAATCGTCGCCTCTTGGTTGTATGATGTAGCTTAAAGTTTGGCTCCATGGATTTAGTTTGTCTTGCTGAATAAAGTATTCCTGTTTGTTTTAGGATCCGGAAAGACTGCAGCTTTCTTGCTGCCTGTGCTGAGTCAAATTTACAGCGACGGGCCCGGAGAGGCTGCGCAGGCCGCCAAGAATGGACAGGTTTGAGGAATAAAAAGCGCAACAAATGGCCATATCCTTGTTTCTCATTATTATTGTGGCTAAACAGCATTGTTTCTCTCATACTCAGGATAGTGGGAGGTATGGCCGCCGTAAGCAGTACCCGCTCTCCCTGGTTCTGGCTCCCACCAGAGAGCTGGCCCTTCAGATCTACGATGAGGCGCGAAAGGTGAGCAACTCGATCCTACGCCAAAGCACAAACGTTGTTCCCCCCGAACTTTAAACATGCAACTCAAAGCTTATGTCTCCTTTCTCTGAACCGTGTAGTTTGCCTATCGCTCCCGCCTGCGTCCCTGCGTGGTGTATGGCGGCGCTGACATTGGCCAGCAGATCAGGGAGCTGGAAAGAGGCTGTCACCTGCTGGTGGCCACACCTGGACGCCTGGTTGATATGATGGAGAGGGGCAAGATCGGTCTGGACTATTGCAAGTCAGTAGAATGGAATTCTCCATTCACATAGCTAGTCTTTCTTTTTGGGAGGGGGGTTGAAACTGACTCATGTCTTTGAGTTGAACGTGGAATGTGTCTCTGCAGCTACTTGATCCTGGATGAGGCTGACCGCATGTTGGACATGGGTTTCGAGCCACAGATCAGACGCATTGTGGAGCAGGATACGATGCCCCCTAAAGGCGTCCGCCAGACCATGATGTTCAGTGCCACCTTCCCCAAGGAGATCCAGGTAGGTCGGAGGGTCGACCAGTATAGCAATCTTGCTAGATAGCCTGAATACCTGCATACTTATCTCTTTAATTTGTTTGCACAGATCCTCGCACGTGACTTCCTGGAGGACTACATTTTCCTGGCGGTGGGCCGTGTTGGTTCTACTTCAGAAAACATCACCCAAAAGGTGGTGTGGGTCGAAGATGGAGACAAGAGGTCCTTCCTCCTTGATCTGCTCAATGCCACAGGTGAGAAGAGCAGATGCGATCATGGGACGCTTTGGGTTTTACACTCATGAAGGTCACCTAGGGCTCTTACTACTTCAGTGTGTTTCGAAAACAAATCAAGCTATATTTACTTAATCTCTGCTAAAAAAACCCCAATGTTCATTATACCAAGATCTTGCCGTGAAACATTAAAAAACGTTCAGGGATGATCAGTCACTGACGTAACTTGCAGTCTTTAGTGGGTTTGCTTCCCCATATCAATCAAGTTGTTATATTTGTGTACTGAGAAGCCTTACGTTTACTGGCCGGTTTGGTTTTATCTTAGTTATTCCCAGTGATGTTCAGGAAAATGTGACAGAGGCCCCCGAGAAACCCGGTGAGTGTGAACATATTATAATCTCACTCTGGCCCACCAGCCAGAGACATCACATCCCACAGTTCACCCTGTCTCTCCGCCCCCCAGCTGACATGCTGCCTCTGTTTCTTTTTATTTTATTCCTTTTTTTTCCTCTTTCCAATAAGGGCTTGCAAGACCAACAATGGCATTTTCCTTGCACTCTATAGACTCTGCAATGTCACTGAATCTCCCCCCACTTTAAAGGGAGGCCTTTCTAGCTGTAGTTTGTCAGCCAGCTCCGCGTGACCACCGTGGCTGGTTGTCATAGAAACTGCTATGTTGCGGCGTCAAATGGCCGTGACAGATTTAACAGAACCAGTCTGTCACTTCAGTATGTTTGAGGTCTAAATTCGACCATTTAACTGGCGCGAGGTGAAGGAGTGAGGAGACCTTCATCTTACTTTTGACGACATCTCACAATTTCCACATACTGGTGTTACCGGGAAGTGTGGTGGTGTAACTTGTCTTTACTGAGAAAGAAGCAACATGTGTAGCTTTGGTTCTTTCTGTGGTAACTTGTGCAGCTGCTGCTATGAAAGGAAAGCAAATATTCTTGATAGCAATTATCTATCTGGATTGTAATATCTTAACTCTATGGATCAAGACCATCCTGAGTATCTGCATCAGACATCCCAGTTTGAGCTATTTTGTTAGCTTCAGTACTATGAGCAGTACCTGAAGAAATGGTTCTCAATTCTTCATTTAAAGCTTTTTATATAGTCATGTTTCCATTTTTAAGTTTTTTGTTTTAATTTCCATTCATTGCTGGCCTTACATTTTTTTTTTTTCAGTTAGCGTTCCTGCACCCATCTTTTAGTTATAAAAATCCACCCGTACAAAGTTATCAATGACTTATATTTGTTTTTCCCCGCTGCTTTCATGCTCTTTATCCGGCTCTCCTCCGGTTCGTCTCGTCCTTTGTTTCTGGCTACACAGGCAAAGAATCTCTCACCTTAGTGTTTGTGGAAACCAAGAAAGGAGCAGATGCACTGGAAGACTTCCTCTACCACGAGGGTTACGCCTGCACCAGCATCCACGGAGATCGATCCCAGAGAGACCGAGAGGAAGCTCTGCATCAGTTCCGGTCTGGACGCTGCCCCATCTTGGTGGCCACAGCTGTAAGTAATCGTAATGATTTTCTAATGGAGAGGCCCGTGGCTGCATTAGTGTTTCTGTCCTTTATGTGAGCTACTTGAAGTTAGTTGATTACTGCATCCTGTCTGGGTTCATGTCTGGAAGCCTGTATATTATATCTTTGGAATTTTACTTTAATCTCAATGTCTTGCGTGTCCAGGTGGCTGCCAGAGGTCTGGACATCAGCAATGTGAAGCATGTCATCAACTTTGACTTGCCCAGTGACATTGAGGAATACGTTCACCGTATTGGCCGTACGGGACGTGTGGGAAACCTGGGTAAGGACCGTTTCATCCTCTTTTCCTTCCCGTATCGATTAATGTATTCTAATGATGGAATCTTTGTTTTTTTGCAGGTCTGGCCACGTCGTTTTTTAACGACAAAAACAGCAACATAACCAAAGATCTGCTGGACATTTTGGTGGAGGCAAAGCAGGAGGTTCCCTCCTGGCTTGAGAGCCTGGCCTACGAGCACCAGCACAAGAGCACCACCCGCGGGCGCTCCGGGAAGAGGTGATTGTCCCGAGCAGGAACACAACGTGCACAAATGGCAGTCGGCCTTTTGGACCTTGTTCTTTTTAACTTGTGTAGTAAAACATTTGAACTCTGGCTTTGCATTGTTGTCCTGGATAATCATAGCAGCTTTAACCCCTTATGATATTTGCAAAGTGGCTTTGTGAAATCTGTTGTATAATATCTAACCAACGTGCGTCCTTTTGAAGGTTCTCTGGTGGTTTCGGAGCGAGAGATTACCGTCAGACGCCGGGCGGCGGCCCTGGGAACTTCACCAGCAGCCGCGGCAGTGGGCGCAGCGCTGGAGGTCATGGAGGAAGCCGGGGCTTTGGTGGTGGCGGCGGCGGTGGAGGAGGTAAGACACAATCTTTCCTTGGAGCACAGAACAAGTCGAGGTACACTTTATAACTGGGACCAACAAGTGTATAACTAATGTACTGACCTCCCTCCCCATTATCATCCTCAGGTGGCTTTGGCGGCAACTTCTACAGCAACGACGGCTACGGAGGAAATTACAGCCACTCTGGTAGTGTGGATTGGTGGGGCAACTAGTCGCCATAGGATCCGGTTGCCATGCCAACCCAAGGGAAACCACATGTTAACTTAAGCCAGACCATAACAACCCTCCCTGTGTAGCTTCAATGACACACAGTACATTACCAACCCTGGTTCTCTGCCATTCGCTTCTCTCAAAAAGGAAGTGCAGCACCACGCAAAGGAAAAGTCACCAGCACGTGCAACGCACCGGAGAACGCAGAGATTCGCACACCTCAGAGTGAGCATGGATGCTGACATGCATTGTCCGATAGCAACTTCGGGCTTTCATTAAAAGTATTTTCTGTTCTTTTTGTGGAAAAAACAAAGGATACAATCGAAATAACCTGAGGATCATTTGTATGTTAATGTACTGTGCCTTTGGAATTTAGACAGGAAATCTATGTTTTCATTTCACCAGATGAACATGGCCACGAGCTCTAAATTTGATTTTATTTGTTTGGTGAAAAATATTAGAAAGGTAAAATAAGCTTGGACTTACTCAAACCTTGGCAAACACTGGGGTATTGTGGCGCTGAGTCATGATTCCATTTGAACTTCAAATTTATCGCAGGAACATCATGTAGCCTTTTCTATAGACAAACAGCTAATGGAGCGATTACTATGTCTAACACCAACTGGGCCACTCCGTGAGGCAACCGTATTTTAATCCTGAAGGACGAAGTTACACTTGTTTTTCTTTCGCTCACTCTATCCTGGACGGGCTCCTTTTTATGGATATGATAGTCTTTGAAATAGCCATTCCTATTGTAATCTTAAGAAACACATAAGTCATTAAGCTCAGTGCCAACGATCGCTGAGGTTTAAACCAGAATAATCACTGCTACAACTTGTTACTCCACTTTTAAATTGACTTGACAGTGTTACGGCAGCTGGTACGTTAGCATGTGCTGGCGCCGTTAAGTGGGCGGCGTTTTTTGTTTCTTTTTACGAGAGAGATTTTTGGTGCCGGTGTGCGGAATTGAAAAGCTGAGTCAGTTTTTTTGATTTTTTTTCTTTTTTTTTTCCGGATTGTTTCTCTACAAATATGTATCAAAACAAAAAATGCCTGCCATCTTTAGAGTGAAGTTGTAGATGGCTGCATAAAGGACCACAGCAATCGGGAGGGCGCTGCGTGGTGTTAGTGTTTTACCCAATCGACCGGCAACCACAAGGCCCACATGGTATTCCACGCTTGCAGGTGTTTTGTTTTTTGGTCAAGGAGGAAAGGACACGCGAACTGAGTCGCAGGCTTAACTTAATTACAGGCGTTTTCTCTTTTTCAAGCTGCGTTGGAGGCATTGTTCATCTTAAAAGAGACGGGCACGCGACTGAGCACTGAGGTTTACCGAGCAGCACTTCCACCACTCGGGGGGGGTTCATGCAGCGGGGTAGACGCGTCTTTTCAGTGCACCGCCATCCGCCGATGGATCATTGTACTGTTAAAGGGGGGGGAGAAAAAAAAAAAAGGGGGGGGGAGGGCGGGGTAGTGCCCGCCTCCCTTATGGAACGTTGAAGTACTGTCAGGTTCTCTGAGAGTTTTATCTGCTCAGGCGTACATTAAAAATCTGTGGCTTTCGCGAAGCCGGAGCAGGCTTTTCCTCTCAAAGAGGAGCAGCCATCGAGAGGAGGAGAGATGGGGCGTTTCACCTCAAAATGCTCCCAATTTTCTCATCGGGTGTGTTGTGCCTTGAAACCTTTTTCTTTTTTTTTTCCTTTTATTTTTCTTTTTAAAGAAACTGAGATATAAGCGGATGCACTGACAGTGTTGACTTGAGATTGAATGGTGCTACTTGATTTAAGTGTGTAGGCCCTTGTTCGTCGTGCCCATCGAGTTTTACAAGTTCTTTTATTGCACATCTAGAGTTTTATATAGATGTCTTGGATATGTGTCCTTAAGCTTCCAAATATTGTGTGTGAGGAGTTTGTGAGAAACGCAGCTTGTTTACAAAGAGGACAGGTTCTAAACGTTTAAACCAGGATTTATTTGGGACCAGGGGATTTAGCAGTCGGGGGAATTTAGCCATTTGCACAGATTTCTAGATTCTACTTTTGCTGCTAGTTTTGTGTAATTTATTAAGCATTTTTGACAAATATTTATTTTTGTAAGCCTCAAAGTGATTCTTTGAAAGTTTCAGTAACTTGACCAAAAGACAGTACAAAAAACACTGGCACTTGAATGTTGAATGTCACCTGTTTGCGTGAAATTTATATATTTCGGGGTAGTGTGAGCTTTTTAATGTTTAAGATACATTGGACTCGGTAAATAATATCCACAGCTGTTTCGGGGGCCTCCTCGTGGCCCCTCATCTCTATTAGACTCTATTAATTGGTGAACAAAATTTGAAATGGAATTGAACAAACATGCCAAGGTTTGGAATAAAGCTGTCAGAGCAAAAACAAAACAATCTCTTAAGCATATCAGTGCTGAAGTGTTAAGATTCTCCAATTGTGTGCATTATTGATTCTTTACTCTAATTTGACCTGATTATTTTTCTCCAGTGAATGTCTGGCACATGGCAATCCTTAAAGAAACAAACATGTGGTTTATTCTCATTGTCGTATTTGTATATGTGGACCCTCTGGGGTTCCTCCGAACGTGGAACCCGTCTGTACGAGACAACACCAGTTCTGCGCAGGTTGTTGCATGGCAGAACCAGAGACGCGTTCCACGTTCTCCAAAGGAACCCCGGGGCTCTTTAGGTGTAGACTTTGCTTTCTGTATTAGCTTCTAGGCTCCTGCACCGCATGGGAAATACTCGGCTGTGCAATTGTATGATTTTACCAAAATAAAAAGGTTGAATGCAAAAAAAAAAAAGTACCTGGACGAATCCAGCATGTTTGATGAAGACTTGTTTACTGTAGTGCAGAGAAGACTTGTAGCAGCGGCCTGTTGCCGCGTGGCGATTCCAGGAGGACCGGCGGCAAAATTCAATTTGGTATCCAAGGGATGGGCTTCATTTCTTTTGAAAACAATATAAAGATTTCATTTGTAAATTGACCTTTGTGGATTGTGTTCTTTCCTCAAACTGGTGTCACGGCGACGATACGTCACCTTCCAACCCGTCCAGCATCTATTCACTGCACGTTCCTGTCGCGAATGGAAGATCATGTACACGGATGTAAAGCTGAATCGACGTGGACGTTTCTGAGGACGAGTGCGCTACATTTAAGGGCGGGCGTCCTGGTGGAAATCTATTTTTGCTCAAAGTTCACAAAAGAACGCAGAGCTTCCTGTCGTGGTCCCTCACTCTAGATCTAGAATAGAAGTGTTTCTCACTTGGGACGAGAGGCTTCATGCCGACTTCTGACTCTTTAGTCCTTCTAGTAGCTCTTTGAGGCTCGTTAGTTATTTTTGTTTGTCTTTGGGGGGAGTTTTCCTCCTCGATGGGTATTGTGTGTGTGTGTGTAACAGTCATTGAGTTCGTACTGCACCGCTTCATGGTTGATATTGTTGGGCCCCGGTGACCTTTGACCTCCCTGTGGCTGTATCCCTACATGCCAAAAGTGCCTGTGTGCTCTTTGCACGAAGCAAAATCCCATGTTTGGTGAATCTTTTTGAAAGGTCTGAGTAAGTGAACCGCTTCTTTGATGCTCAAATGGTGTCGGGTCACTTTTGCACGGCGGTTTTTATCTGAAGGTTTGCAGCTGAGCTGCTCCGCCCTGACGATCAAACCCAGAAACATCACCGGTCTCTTTCCCAGTGGGACCAGATGTGCACAGATTATGGTGTCTGTGTGCAGCTTTCCAAGTGGCGCGCTGTGCTGACAGGGTGGAATCCTCGAGGTAGGTGACCTGTATTTGATGCCTCTACAGACGGAGCTCTCAGGCTGGAAAGTGACTGGATGCACGTCTGCACTGGACTGCTGTCACCCCCACCCCACTTTTTGGGGATGTTTTTTTTTTTTTTTCCACGATGCTCTCGAAAGGCCTCTGATGTGCCGATGACCTTTGACCCTCCCACCCAATGACAACCCATTAAAAAAAACTTGTGTAATATCTGATTAAAGAAGTGCGCGGTTGGAGTGACAGTCTGAGGATGGAGGTAACCATGGTAACCATGGTCACCCGGCACATCGTATCGATCGCCTCATCGGGTCACGTGTCGCTGATCCGTGTCAACATCCGCATCTCTGGACTCCCGCGTCCCCACCTGGTGCTGCGAGTGTGCGTCCGACTAATCCGCGTTGCGGTTTGATCCCGCAGCTTCGTTTTGCGCCTTTTAATCTCCCTCCATCTCCCGGATTTGAGTGCCATTAAGAGATGGCTTTTTGGTGTGCGTGTGTTTTATGACACACACACACAGTCAAGGGTGGGGGGGAGGAGAAAGGCGTAAATTCACAACTGCACACACTTTTTTGCCAGAGCGCGTCTGTCTGAAGCCGCCGGTGGAGCACCGTGCAGACCGGTACGGGACGGCCGGGATGGGGCCCAGCGGGACGGGTGGGGTCGTGTCCTTCAACTCAAGCGGGTGGAGCTGCCTGGAAAGATCTGCAGGTACGTCGCTTCCATGGCTGCAGTCAACAGGTGTGATATTCTGTGTGTGTGTGTGTGTGCGTGTGTGTAATCACCGTTGTGTCATTGTGTAGTTGGAGAGTGAAACCAGGTTCTCCCAAATCACCTCCCGGCTTTCAACGGGACGCGTTGTTTATGTAACTCGCATCAGTTCATCGTTAAGTGCTGCTGTGCTTGTGTGTTCCAGACATCCGCTAATCCTGGCATGTCCCACATGAGCGACTCCAGCAATGACTGTCATCACTTTCACCGGTCAGTTCTTCCTCCCCGTCGCTCCTCCGCTGTCCTTTTTGTCCCCCTCAGCGTAAGAAATGGTCTCACATTCTGTTGTGGTCCAGAGAAAGAAGCCTCACGCTGTCAATCATCAGATAATGAGCAATAACCGCTTTGGTACAAGACGTCTCACAAAAATGCTGGCTTTCCTCCATCGAAGACATTTCAACCCCACGGTTTTCCCCGAGCGAACGATGAAGCTAAAAGGATGGAGGTGGAATCAGATCGTCGCGGCGATTCTGTCTCAATCACATCATCGTGTCCCCGGCAGCTCGCAAGGGGACCGTTTGGGCCTCGAGCGCCAAATCAAATTCACCGATGCGGATTTCAGTTGGAGATTCTTTTGCGAAAAAAGAATTTGTGCTGTGAAAGAAATGTCAGCGACCGATAAAGCCACTAAAACACCTGTCCACATGTGGACCGAGGGCATCAGAGCCGGGGGAGGAAATATTTGACTTTTCACTACGGACACCGGCTGACGAGTCAAAAACATTTACTATTTTAACAGCAACAAACTATAAAAGGCACGTTGGTTTAGAATGGGAGGTGTGACTTTGTGTTGCCTTTGGACAGCGCTAGGCTAACTGTTTCCACCCGGTTCCAGTCTACATGCTAAGCTCAGGTTTAGCGTGTTGCTCCATATTTAGTGTGCGGTGTCAGTCTCAGCAAGAAAGAGACCCCCCCCTCCCTGGAATTCTGCAGCATTGATCCTAATAAAGTGCTGAATCGTGTAGAATACGGATCACAGATTTGGAACATTAGCCGGTTAACCAGCTTTATTTGATCCTGATTTTTTGATCATACCTGTGTCAAGGACTGCCTGTTGTTTTGATGTTCCCCCCCCCTCCAGTCTCGGTGCTCTGCCTGCTGCCCCCGGCAGCACTCGCCCGCTGGGCGTGCGAGCGGGCGTGTCCGGCCTCCTGCTCGTGCACGCAGGAGAAGAGCTGCAGCGTGCTGTGCGACCGCTCCGGCATGGCCGAGCTGCCCAGAGAGTTCCCCTGCGAGGCGTCCGCCATCAACCTGGACAAGAACAGCCTCAAGTTCCTGTCGGAGAGGGCGTTCGGCACGCTGCCCGCCCTCAAGACGCTCTCCCTGGACCACAACAACATCTCCTTCATCACGCCCGGGGCCTTCAAGGTCGGCCGCTCATGACTAATGATGATGGGGGGCAAAATACTTGCAATATTTAATCTTTGCTTCATACAAAAACCAAATTACACGCAGTAAAATCCAGTATTGTGGTTTTATTTTTGAGATCGGCTTTTCGCTGCTGAGAAATTTGCCGCTAAGAATGAGATTAAAATGATGGATGGCTCAAACCATCACAAAATTACTATTCTGTTCAGAGCTTTAAGCTGTTAATATGCAACCTTTCACCTCCAAACCTGAAAGAATCAAACCAAACTGAGCTGTATGGTTGGTTAGTGAAGCGCCTCTTAAAGAAATCCTTTAAAAAACTTGTTTGCTTGCTACAAAAAATCATTAGAACCAGTTTATCCAGTAAAATCATTGACTTCAGATATCTTTAACAAGGAGTCTGTTCAAATTCAAATGTGCCCCTCCGTCCCCGCAGGGCCTCGGCAACCTGGTGGAGCTGAAAATTGCGAACAACGACTACATCAGTTACCTCCACACGCGGACCTTCACAGGGCTGAAGAAGCTGGTGCGCCTCGACGTGTCCAACTGTAACCTCTTCAACATCCCCGACCGCATCTTCCTGGAGCAGGCGGCGCTGAAGGAGGTGCGCTGCTTCGAGAACAACTTCCGCAGGATCCCCGGGGCCTTCAGAGGGATGGAGAACCTGACCCACCTCTACCTGGAGAGGAACAAGATCGAGGCGGTGGCCTACAACTCCCTGCTGGGCCTCCGCGGCCTCAGGTGAGTCCTGGGCCTGGGAGGAGCTTGTGTGCTGAAGGAACTCCCAGATAATTGGGTCAAAAGTTAGCGACTACGCTTAGCCTGGATTTAGGAACACGATCCTTCCATCACTTCCATCTCCTCATGAAGCGTCCGTCTGTTCCTCTCGTGCCAGGTACCTGAACCTGCAGGAGAACCTCATCAATGTGATCCACGACGGCTCCTTCCAAGACCTCCTGCGGCTGGAGAACTTCTACTTCAACGACAACCTGCTGACCGACCTGCCGCGGCACGCCTTCCGAGGCCTCGTCCGCCTCAAGATGCTCAACCTCGGCGGGAACCAGTTGACCAACGTGTCCCGGACGTGGTTCGGCGACCTGGTGGAGCTGGAGGTCCTGTACCTGGACAGGAACCAGCTGGTGAACATCGAGGAAGGCACGTTCCAGAACCTCACCAGCCTGATCACGCTCCACCTGAACAGCAACAACCTCACCAGCCTCCCCTTCCCCGTCTTCCAGCCCGTCTACTTCCTGGCCCGCCTCTTCCTCTTCAGGAACCCCTGGGCGTGCGACTGCTCCCTGGAGTGGCTGAAGCAGTGGATGGAGAGCTACAAGCTGGTGCGGGACGTCCCCTGCGCCTCGCCTTCCTCCGTGGCGGGGCTGGACCTCGGCGAGGTGGTCTTCGCCAGGGCGAACGGCACGTGCGTGGACCCCGGCGAGCTGAACCTGACGGCGGCGCCGGCGGATGTCGCCTCCACCACCGAGAACCGCTTCAACAGCCTCATCTCCAAGCTGCTGCAGCAGGAGATCAGGGAGGAGCTGGGCAACGGCACGGAGAGCCTTCGCAACGGGACGCTGGCCGAGGCCGAGGACGGGCAGCTCTCCGCGGGGGTCAGAGGTCAGCGGGCCCCGGCCGTCCTGTGCTTCGTCGCGGTGTGGCTCGCCCGTTGCACATGAGCACGGTGGAGAAGGGGGCGGGTTCTCTTCACAGGAAACAAGCAGTGTTTGTTTATCCGTTAGAGGCGCGGGGGGCATTTGGGACGTTGGCTTCAGGTGAACTGACCGCCTGGTAATCTGAATCTTCCTCAGAGGGAACAGAGGCCATAGTCAGGTATTTATGGATGAAATATGGGACGCACAGCTCGAGATCTCCACATCAGAGTTGATTAACTGTGGCCAAATGATGAAAATGTATTTGTGAACCTCCACCTTTTGTTGTGTAACTCTCAGTGTAAATTAATATTACATCATATTCGAGAGCTAAGAACAGAGTTCAGCTTTTCCATGAATGCATTAATCTTGCTGCTGGAGGGACTCTCCTCTCGACGGGGGTCATTGCACGTTACTCTTTATATTTGTTGTCTGTGGCTGAGAGCTGCTTTCTCCTCCTGGTATTTTAAGGTCAAACCGCTGTCAATAAAGTGGAACTTTCGACGTGTTGCTCAGACCCTTGAATGTGGGATCAGGCTGCATGTCGTCACAGGAGCCGTTTTCAGACTTCTCAAATGCATTAATTGTAGGGAATTGAAAATGTTGAGAGGTATTTGGAAGAACTGATACACATGTATTTTTCTGTGTTGACGCATTTTCTAAAACGACTGAGCACGATCTTGGTTTCCTTTTAATTATCACCACGGTTACAGTAACTTGCTCATGTTCAGTGGAAACAAGAAAAGCCACTCCAAGGTTCATTTTTCCAACACATAAAAGGAAATATATTTAAAAAATGGTTCGTACTGAACTTTTATCATCGCAGAGTCATTTACACAAGGGGCAGTTTGTCATTCTGCCATATTCACATAGTTATTCAGACGCTGCCTCCTCTTCCTTTGCGGTTACAGAATAAAAATTTCTTTACTCGTCAGTTTTAAACATTAATACTCTTGGACATCACATTTGCAAATAAAGAATTAGTTGAAATATCCTTTTTTTGTATGACAGATCAAAAAAATTAAGACTTTAAAATCTTTTTTGCAAACATCACTACATGGTCGATCTTTTTTTTAAATAAATCTGCTTTAGAAATGTCACCTGAAATGCAAGAGATGTGCATAGGTGTTTCTCGCCCCGCGTGCTTCCCTTGAGTTCAGTCTTCAACAGCTGGAATGTTTTTCACGTTTATGTGTATATTCACGCGTTTCCGTTCATCAGGGAAGCTTCCACATGTTCACATGCACGACGAACCACATTTACGGATTTATTTAAAAGAGACTGTACCTGAAAGGTGATTATGAAACCGTACCAAAAGCTAAATAGAATCGTGACACAAGGAAACCCAGGAGACAGAATAAATAAGGACGGATGCTGGTCCACAGAGGAGGAGGCGTTGCAGTGGGTTTGTGGGCTTTTACTTCATTCTGCCGACAGCGTCTTTCTACAGATGGTTCAGGACTAGCGAGTCGCCTCCTAGCTAGTACAGACATGACAATATTCACTTTTGTTTAAACTGTTTTTATACGTCGCTATGACTACGTCGAGTCCGATGATTGGACGCAGGCGGTCTGTGCGTCCAGGAGGACTTCCTGTGGAATGCTGGGGGGCGGCGGCTTCCATCCAGTTGTATTTTTCTGTTAAAAGTTATTTATTCTTACTTCAAAAGGGGGAATGATGGGAGGGGGGAGGGGGGTTCTGGCGGCGCTGCCGGTCAGTAGACCCAGGACACGGGAACCCACTGGCTGGTGGTGCACACCAGATCGATGGCCTCCTCCAGGTGCCTGATGGTCTCGTCGATCTCGTTGTTGATGATGGTCTGGTCGAAGCAGTGGGCGTAGGTCTTCTGCAGGATCTCAGACTCCTTCTGCAGCCGCTGGAGCGACTCGTCCTGCAGGAGGGACACTCGGTTAGACGCCGGTAAAGGCGGAGGCCGTGATGAAGAGCTCTCATTGGACTCGTTGCTAAGGCCCTTACGTACTGTGTGATGGAGCTACTCAACCGACAACACAGAGGAGGCTCTTTTTTTTTTTGCCTCTATTAAAATCACCAATCTTTTTTGATACGGCTGCTACAGCACAGCGTGTGACGTGGGGACACAGAAACAACACACATACTTACACACTAACACTACGTGCCATCAGGCTTCACTTACTGGCAGCGTCCGACACCACCGGGGCATCTGAGCCGAGCGCCACGAGGGGCAAACGCATGCAGCATGCAGAGGTAGAAAAGTGCAGAGAGGACTGAGAGAAGCACACGCGCACACTGTGTGATGTGACGCAGTAATCGTTTGGCAGAATGTCATTTGGATCACTCGCAGATTAGAGGGGAAATCTTGTGAAGCGAGAAGTCGACGCTGGTCGAGCTAAACCAACAATTTGCATAATCCACTATAATCAGAACAATGGAGCTCTTCGGAGCAGAGGACGGACAATGAGGACGCTTGTTAGTGGACACAGTTGGTCTTTTCTTGAGATAATAGGCGCACACAGCGGCGCTGTGCGGGTCTCTTTCAGCGGAGGCCGCTGCCACGAAGCCACGAAGCGACTCGCTGCACGGTGCACTGACCACCATCACCAGTCCACCTTTTTATTTCTGCATCTGATGACTAAATGAACTCAGAGCTGTAGATTGAGACTATGAACTTATGTTGACTTTTCCGGTAGATTTCTATAATCGTCTCTCTGGTACCGAAGGAGCCGTAGAGGGACTGCAGGCAGGTCTAAACCACAATGCTTCCTTCACGCCACCGGGTGATACCGCGTGATACCGTGTCATACCGGGCGTTACCGTGTCATACCGGGCGACACCGCGTCATACCGGGCGTTACCCGGCGACACCGCGTCATACCGGGCGTTACCCGGCGACACCGCGTCATACCGGGCGTTACCCGGCGACACCGCGTGATACCGGGCGTTACCCGGCGACACCGCGTGATACCGGGCGTTACCCGGCGACACCGCGTGATACCGGGCGTTACCCGGCGACACCGCGTGATACCGGGCGTTACCCGGCGACACCGCGTGATACCGGGCGTTACCCGGCGACACCGCGTGATACCGGGCGTTACCCGGTGACACCGCGTGATACCGGGCGTTACCCGGTGACACCGCGTGATACCGGGCGTTACCGTGTCATACCGGGCGTTACCGTGTCATACCGGGCGTTACCGTGTCATACCGGGTGTTACCGTGTCATACCGGGTGTTACCCGGTGACACCGCGTGATACCGGGTGTTACCCGGTGACACCGCGTGATACCGGGTGTTACCCGGTGACACCGCGTGATACCGGGTGTTACCCGGTGACACCGCGTGATACCGGGCGTTACCGGGTGACCCGCGGCCGGGGAACGTTTGCTTGCTTTCGTTGCTCGCAGCCTTCAGACGCGCATCATCTGCTCGTGTGCCGTCCTACCTCGCTGATGCCCGGCGCAATCGTTGGTGCAGCGATGAAGACGACGTACGGGGCGAACTCTGCCGTCCGCAGGACCTTCAGGGCCTGATGGAGAACAAGTGGCAGTGGTCAAAGTGTCCTAACGTCATGCACGCACACACACACACACACACACACACACACACACACACACACACACACACCTGAGGCTCCACGTCCAGTATAGCTATGTGTCCGTGCTGGTGGATCATGCGGATGGTCTCCAGCCGCGTCCCGTACATGGCGTCCTCGTGGCTGCCGTACTCCAGGTAGTCGTTGTTGCTGATGTCCTGCATCATCTGGTCGTGGGAGACAAAGTAGTAGTTCTTCCCGTCCTCCTCGTCCTTCTTCGGAGGTCTGGTTGTGTCTGTGGGACACAGCGCAGCGTTTACACCCACTCACAAAGCGCCCGGTGGTTTTGTCCCGTGGAGGAGCTTACGTGGGATGGGGTAGGCAAATCTGTCGGGGTGTTTGGTGATGAGTGTGTTCTTGATGTGTCTTCTGCCGACTCCATGGGCCCCTGAAACACACACACACACACACACACATGCTCAGTGAGGACAGACCGAGAGACAAGTGTCCCCGCGTCACTCGGCAGGCAGAACTTACCCAACAAAACTAATGTTTTCCTCTTGAAAGCAGGAAGCTTGACGACCTCTTCGTACGTGACGAGGTCTAGTTGGTCGAACACTGGAGGCGAGAGGGGGACAGGGACGGAGTGAGAGGACAAGGTCCAAAAACAGTCAGAGGGGGACAAGGGGCACTAAAAAGGGAGTCGGAAACACATCGGGAGACTATGTGGGGACGAGAGGAGGAAGTTGGGTCACTTAATGAAACGGAGATGTTCAGTGAAGTGACGATGACTCCTTTAAAAAAAAACAAGAACTGACAGGAAATAAATGAGCAGGACACGTTTTATCTGGAGATAAAGCCACTTTAGATGGTGTGAGAAGAACATGACAGGATAATGAAAGTGCTGCTGAAAGAAATTTGTTCTTTAATTTTTAAGGTCTCTCAAGAAGAGTTTCAATTCCGTCTCCTTATGTCTCTATCTCAGGGTTCACTGTTCGACACGTTGCTCAGCCTCTAACAGCAGCCTCCACCTCGGGGTGCGGACGAGCAGACCGGATCATGGCATCAAACACGCGGGGGGGGGTGGGGGGGGGGGGGGGGGATGCCGGACGGACTGCTGGTCATTACCGAAGACTCGTCGGCTAATGAGCACACAAAACGGGTCAAGATGGAAATCACAGCACACGATATCTGACTGACCGAGCTGCTCCAGTGTCGGTCTTCTGTTGTTTAACGACCACATCAACAAAAACTAAACCGAAAAGGCTGCCAGTGACAGCTGGAGTGGGTGGAGGGAGGGGTGGGGGGGAGGGTGATGGGAGGAGGAGCTGGATGAGCGGGTGAGAGCTGGTCGCCGTCACTGGTTGTTACTTACATGCAGCGAGGCCGTTCAGTAGGAGAGAGCGAGAGAGATGGAGAGCGGTCATAACACAGAACAACGAAACGTCACACAGACAGCAAGACACCAGGAAGGAGGAGCCGTTAAAGGGAATGGACGTCGTTCTTTGAACAACCAGGAGTTTGTCAGCACGAGTCCAGATGTTACATCGCTCACAGAGAGAGATCCCTGGAGACTGTTCACTATTTAAAACACCAACACGAGTTGTTGTTTGGAGACTAGAAACACAGAAAGTCACGCTGAACCATCTGCAGAGTTTCTGCTTCATGCACAGCAGTTCTAAAAATATACATTCATTTATTCTTTGCCACATCTGTACAGTATGCTGTGCTTCAGCTTGAACAGTAACTTTCTGCAAGGATCAGCATTTAAAATGTTTCTTATTCGGCTGTTTGGGTCGCTGGTAAAAACTCACCGATGAGGTTCGGAGAACACGTCTTTGTTTCAGGGCTCACAATAGTTTTCTTTGTGTAAACACACAGATGCACACAAACAAAAACGTGCAAAACAATCCAGTCGTCGCAGCTATTTTTCGCTCCGTAGAAATAAACACACTACGATAAAATCTGAGTGCCGGAGTTATTTCTACTGGAGCCTTAATGAGGCCGCTGGGCCATCAGGCACATTCGTGGATCCGTGTCCGTGAAAGCAAAAGCCCAAATCAAGTCATTAAATAAAGGCAGGAGACTTTGGAGCTTCCATGAACACACATCTAATGAGTTACGAGCTTCATGCTATGGAACCTAATCGACGGGACATTCTCATACCTTGATCCTCTGGAAAAACAAAAACAAACTACATGCACGGAAGTGAAATGCAACAGATATTCAAGAACTAGAAGATCCGCTTGAGTTACAAGAACAGTTTTAAGAGACCGAATGAGAAACCACCATATAAAATCACTCCATCAGTCGGCCTCAACCGGTTCTACTTCTCTCCGGCCGAGAGCACGCATGCACGGAGCCGCGTGCACGCATGCACGGAGCCGCGTGCACATGCATGCGATTATGGATGTGTGTGTGTGTGTGAGAGAGAGTTTACCTGCGTTGTGCTTTGCCAAATACTTGTCTTTGTACTGCTTCTTCTTCTTGCCAAACCAGGTGCAGCTGGCCTGCTGCTCCTGCTTGGTCTTCTCCATGGCTATGCACGCCACCCGCCTAACGCCAACGCACAAACGCAGCGTCAGCAGAGTGGATGTCCATGGGTGTGTGTGTGTGTGTGTGTGTGTGCGCGTTTCTCCCTCTCACCACTCCTGCAGCTCTGGCGACGGGATGAGGCCCGCCGTGCCGTTTTTGGTGTTCTCCAGCTTGCCCTGCCACCAGTTGTGGTCGTCCTTGGAGATGATCTGGATGATGTCGCCCACCTGGAAGCGAATGCCGGCCTCCTTGCAGGGGATGAGCTCGTCTTTGGAGGGGTCGTATTCAAACTGAGCCCTCACGTAGATCTGTGGCCGAAGAGAACCAGCAGACGTTAGAAGAGTGAGCTTCCTGAGGGGGTGAGGAGTGAGGGGCGGGGTGGGTCCAAGGCAGTGGGGTGAAAGTTTAGGGGACGAGACCAAAAAAAGAAAGGAAAAAGTTGAAAAGGAATACAAAAGTGTCGACGCGATGGTTTGTTTTTGCTCGTAATGAGCGGCGGGGGTTGTTGTGGTTGCCAGGTTGGACACTGGTTCCCGAGGGAGACAAAGTCAGACACCGCTGGACTCCTAATGAGCCTCTCGGCGCGCGTAGACACGGCACAGGCATTGTTTACCAGCCACAGGTTCAAAACAGCACGCATGTCCTGCTCGCCTTCCGCGGGGGTTTGTTGTCGACACTGCGTGAAAGTGAGCTGCTTTGGGAGTCTTGGGGACAAACCTCTACAGGTGTTTTGGGGGTTTTTTTTGGTGGGGGGTGGGAGGGGGGAATAGCAGAGGCCGTCTCTTACCTTAACAGACATTTTCTCCTTGATTGGAGGTCTGGATACAATCTAGGATTTGAAAGCATCACACACGTCATGCAGCAAAACGGCTATGCAACGTCGTAACAGCAGTATGGAGGCCAAGGTTGATGGAGGGGATGGGGGGGGGGGTCAGGGGTCGGGGGGGTGATGAGGGTGGGACACGGCGACCTACAGCTCCTCTTTACGAGGGGGCCGCACAAAGAATGGTCCTCATACTGGCAACGAGGACTTGTGGTGGACTCTGCTGCCCTCTGCTGGGAGGATCTGCTGCCGCTAGAATCACGAGGTCATCGGGAGCCACAATGGAAGAGACTGATTGACACACACGCAGACACACACACACACACACACACAAAGACGCCGTGACGGGATGAGGTGACAGTTGTGGAGGATTGTTGTGATGACAACGCTAGTTGCCTCGTCGTGGATGGTTGACTGACTGGGGATCAGCGCTTAGCGGGGGCTCTGCAGGGTTTAACAATGCCTGTGCCAACACACACACACACACACACACACACACACACACACAACCCGGCTGATAACACAAGTGGTCCCTCACATTGAATCAGTGAATTAAATTGATATTGCATCGAATATCGAATGACAAGAATCAGTTAGTAGCGAAACAGAAAATTAATTATCAACTATTTTAATAATCAAATAACACTCTCGGGTACAAGCTTCTTAAATTTGAGTTTGTGTGGCTTTTCTCGTTTTGAAATCCTTGCTAATTAAATATCTTACAGTGTCTGCCTGACAACAATAGCAGGTTGAAGATATGACCTCAGAATGTTGCACTACTATCTCATATTCCTGTAAACCAAATAATTGAAATGATCACGTGAACTGGTTCTGTTGGATGAGGTCTCTTATGTATTTAATCTGCCCCCCCCGCCCCCCATATAAGGGACCTGTGAAGACTTTGACAATGAAATATGCGTTTGTTAGGGCATGAAGATGTGAGTATTAGGATGTGTGGCTGCCTTCAGACTGACTGACACAATAATACCACGCTGACTCGTTCCATGTTCTCTCAATCCAGGAAATCCTTTTTTCCCCAAAACAACAACATTCTTCCTTGTTTGAGTCGCTAACAGCTGAACAGCTGCAGCTTACTCTGTTCTAAATGCATTTTGGAGCCCAATATTTGTTCATTAAAAGATTTTTAAAAAGCTTTAAAAAGAGGTCAGACCGTTTGCATCATGACTGACACAGTGTGCACAGCTTGGGGATCAGTCGCTAAACAGAACCACTACACAGAGGAGAAAACGGGGCTTTGGGGGAAAGTGAGACTCACACTCACACAGGGGAGGGACGCAAGCGTTGTGTACAGAGCGAGCGAGTGAGAGAGTGAGTGAGAGAGACTTCTATTCACCTGTCGACCTTTGGGCTGGATGGTGGACGGCAGGTCCTGTGGGAGGAGACGTGGTGAGGCAACACACAAACCGTCTTTAGACACCGTGCATGCGCGAGTGGAAGCGAGATCGGAGGGATTCTCCTCCGCTGAAGCCGATATCGCTGTCGAGCAACCAAGCAAGCGCAGAGCAAGCGGGTTCGACCTGCGACGTGACAGCGATGAGGGCGCGGCACACTTCACGAGGCACACCAATTTGTTAACTGAGATATCGGACACAGGGTGTGGGGGGAGGAGGGGGGGGGGGTCCTGCTAACTCTGCTACAGATATAAACTAACTTAAAACAGGTTGAGACGTCTAGAAATACTACGACACATCAACGTGACACATGACAGGCACGTGGAGGCTGGGGGGGGGGGGTGTTCTTTGGGGGGGTGTTCTCTGTGGGGGGGGGGGTCTGTTGGGGGGGGGCTGAAGGGGGTCGGGATCCTTACCAAGATAGAACTGTTAATGCTGGAGTGGCCATTGGCAGGGGACTGCCTGGAGGTGTTGGGGGACTCTTTCTGAAATAAGACACACGGATCAGCAGCGCCACACACACACACACACACACACACTCTCTCTCTCTCACTCACACACACACAGTCTGGGCAGCGACCGGAGGCGATTGGGGGGTGAATTAGAGCACAAAAACGACCGACTACAGCGTTGATGTGCCGAAGCGACCCGGCGTCGGAGACGCCGTCGTAGGTCCTCACGTCCCCACAGGGGGGCGGCAGATGGTAGATTCTTATTCCAGAGACCATGAGGTCGTCATTAAGAACAAATCTGTGAGTGCCGGAGGACCGACAGAGCTGGAATTAGAATTAAATAAATGTTTAATGATTCTAGAGAATGATTTAAGAGGTAATCTCATTTATAAAGACGGAAAATGGAGAAGAGGAGAAGGCAACTTTAGTACTTTCCAAACAAATAAAATATGTAACATTCTTGTTGGGATTGATATTTCATTGTGATTTTGATGGTGCAGTTTGTTCCTCATGGACTTGTACTTGGATGTCCTTTCCCCGTCGTCAGCAAAAAAATCGCAAGAGCTGCGGTTTGGATGTAAAACCTTCCAAAATAATAGTTTTGTTGTGGCAGAGCCGTCACTGAGCCTGAGCCTAAATAAAGAAAACCACAAAATAACTTTAAACTGGTTTCCAGATGCAGTTTTAAATCCATTTAGAAATAACCCAACCAAATTACACACGAGGCTCTGCAGGGTTCGGTTCCAGATCGCATCAGTGAATTCCCCTCCGTCCCTCTGGGGCCTCGTACCTGCTGTCACAACCAGCGCCCGTTATTCTGCCCACCCTGTAAAGTGTACACAGGACGAGGCCGTACAGAGGTCCAGAGAGGGGGTAGGGGGGGGGGGGTGAGGGTCCGGTATCTTGGTTGGGAAATTGGTGTGCTGTTATTGCAAAACACAGCAAAACACACACACACACACACACACACACACACACACACACACACACACACCGCATACACGCTACACGTGTGTCACACGTTCAGTAACCAGCCGAGCGGTTAGTAACCAGATCAGCAGAACGGAGGGGCGGGAGAGGAAGAGGAGATAGATGTTACCTCACACGAGGAGCCCTGCGTCCGGTAACTTGGCACTATTTTGAAGGTGATGCTGCCTCGCATCTCCCTCTGTGTGCACACACACACACACACACACACACACACACAGTTTATTGTCATCTTGTGTTGCTTTTAAACAGTAAGACAGTGAAGCATGCATTAACACACTTGAGCACACGCACACACTCACCAGCATCTTCTGCAGCTGCTCGACTGTCTGGTTGGCCACGCTGATGCTGTTGATCTCGCGGATCTCGTCCCCTATGTGCAGCGTTCCTGAGAGAACAGAAAGGGGGTCAAACCTTTCCCTCCTCATTGAGGAGCCTCACCGTATTTCTTTGGCCTCCGTTGCCCTTTTTCTCCGACGGCAGCTGCAGCAGGCAGAAGGACCCTTTGTAATAGAAGTGGGCTGTACAATTCACACATGACGAAGCAACTAGGGATTAATTAACAGAACAACACTGAAAGAGCAAGTGGTGCCTTCCAACACGAGAGACAAACCAGCTGTTGGAATGTATGCATGTGCACACTTAGAAAAGAGTCTCCCTACAGGCTCTATGAAGCATTTTATAAAAACGCACCTTGTCTGTGGATCATTCCCCCGTGCATTATCCTGGCAACGATGCAGTGGTTCAACTCGTTCATCTTCAGCGTGATGCCCTGCACACACACACACACACACACACGTGGGTCCAGCGGAGCATCCGGAGATGACGGAAAGCGCCGGCGCGAGTGCAGGCAAAGTGTTAAAGCGCGTACCATCGGCTCGTCCGTGTTCTTCTGGAACTGCACCAGGCGGACCCTGGTGACGTTCTCCAGGTCCATGTCCCCGTTGGTGCTCTCTGGGGACTCCCCGTTCAAGTAGGGCGAGGTGGGTGGGGGGGTCACCCTCAGAGCATCGTCACTGTACACCTCGTGGGCCACGACGTCGTGGGCCTGCAGCAGAGCCTGCAGACACACATGCAAACGCACCTCGTGGTTTATGAAAGACGAAAGGAAAACAGGAGAGTGTGGCTTCAATACGCAGACAGTGATCCATGCAAAAGTACTTATGGAGGCCAACTTCTCCTCAAGGTGGAGTGTTTGGTCCTTCTGTAGAAGCCCCCCGGGTGGATGCCGGGATTTAAGGGCTGCAAAATGAGTAACATTTTTCCCCACAATGAAATGAGACCACATTGCAATGTAAAAGCGCTCATAGGAATCTCTGCCGAATATTACGAGCATCCCTCCACCGGGGGGCGATGGAGGGGAACTGGCTCCACTTTTTAGGGAGCTTTCATGCTGCTTAACCTGATCCCTGCAGAGACTTCCCTACAGGTTGGCTGCAGCAAGTTAGTAGGACTTAGTATCTGAGAGGCAAGTGAGAGAAACAATCACTCATAAGAATGTCTAGAATCGTCACAGACTGATTAACTGACCCGCTTAATTAAATGTCGCTCAATTATCTATGATTTAAACCCATCTACTGGCCGGTGAGTGTATTTATGTCTGGAGAGCTGCGGCTGCGCTCCTGATCCTCTCACTGGCTTGGCAGCACGAGGTGTTCGTTGCATCAGAAACAGTCGGGTTTCTGAGAGATCTTCAGGTGCATTTAGACATCACACCAACGACTTGTTAGAACAAACCCCCCACCCCACCTGAGCCGCGCGCGCTCAGAAATACTCCGGCACCACGGCACCACGGCACGGAGGGAGGGACTCACACCAGCACCTCCGTCTGACTCCCTGCTGAGCCGCCGTTTCAGGTGGGTCTCCCCCCCTTTCCTCAGGTGCCTTTGGTGTAGCCCCCCCCCCTCCCACGTCTATTTGAGAAGCCGGCCCCTCAGCGCTTCACTCTCCCCCTGAGTGGCACTTTAACAAAGTGGTCTGAACTTCAGAAGACAGCAATCAAACATCAACAAAGGGGAAACCTGTCACACACACACGCACACACACACACACACACACACACACACACACACACACACACACACAGATCAGAGAGGCAACCTCCATGTCAAACTACAACACGTACACAGAAGGAACGTCACAGAGACACGGAGGAAGTCCAGGAACGTCACAGAGACACAGAGGAAGTCCAGGTCGTGTGTCTGTGTGTGTGTGACTTCGCCCTAATGAGGACGGGGTCACAGGGTCAACCCCGTCGGCCCCCACGCTGTGCGGGTGTGTGCATGAGTGAGTGTGAGACACAGAGGGAGAGTTACGCTAGATGCTGAACTCTCTAAGAAGAAAATACCCCGAATTCAACATTCCTGGTGA